TATTTTAAAGTATTTGAAATATCACTCAGCAATACCTGTACAATCATGTTGATCACAAATATGTTAATATTTTGTCCATTGTGATTTTTCCAGTGATTCACGAGTAACAGAAAAGTAGATAGTAACAGAGATATTTATATGCTGAGTAAATACTGTAGTATTCACTTTGAAAACACTAATGCTATGTTCCCTGTGCACTAAAGGATAATGCTGCATTCTTTGAATTTTCCGAACAAATATTTTCTAGGATTTTTGTTTTGTATAGTGTGTTCCATAGATGCTACTGTAAGAAGCTGTATGAAATCTCTTACTCATTTAACTACAATTAAAGAAGTGTTTGCTAGTGAAAAATAATATTGTAGGTATTTGTGAGTGAAGAGACTGTAGATAGAATAAAATTAAACAAAAAAACTATGATGCAGATTTGGGTAGTGCTAGAAAACACAGGAATGCTCTTGTGGACTTCAGTAAGAACAGAGGCGCTTTTTGTGATTGACCACATGTAGAAAGCTCTTACCAATCCTAGGGGTTGCTGTTCCCTCTGTGTTTGGTAGCTTTCCAAATTACTTCTCTAAATTAATTGCCATAAGTTTCCTGTTGAAAAGATCAGTATTTGGCTTTAGTAGCTCTTCTAAACTTACTTTGTGTGAAATTGGATGGTTTTATCCATTAGAGAAACATGGTTGCCCTTCCACATTAGAAAGGATTGAAGATTTTCTAGGAAACATAGAAATTGGAATACACACAAAGTGGATTCATTCAAACTTTTTAGGTCTTTGTTTCACTGAAAGACAAAGTAGTGCTAAAAAAAAAAAAATATTTTAATAAATATCAGAATGAGAAACTTAGAAACACACCCAAGTGCTATTAAAATAATGAACTCATTAAAGCCATTTCATATAACTTGCACAAGTCAAGCAGACATTCTTTTTCTGTTTTACATGTAAAGATGCATTTCTTACTTTTTTAAAATTAGAATTTGTTAGAAGGCAAAAGGGAATGTAGACCCTACTTTTCAAGAAGCAAAACTCTACTTGTTTATATAAGAAAACAAGGTGTAAAACTTTTTTTTATTTTATATTTAATTCCTTGCCTTTTGGAGTTTTTCCTAATATTGTGCTGTAATTTTTTTTATAAATTTGCTGAGTGTATAGTTTAAATTTAGATGTTTTCATTTAATGATGCCTGCTAGATTTACTAATTGAAGAAAAATATATTTAGTTGGATTTCTTCCAATTTCAATTAGTTCAGCTTATGCCACACTTTCTATTCTTAAAATATTTTTAAGCATGAAATGTATTTAATGTTAAATGTTCTGGAATTTGATGCCTCATTTCAGTACTGCAGCTTTAGTATCTTCGTGAGTGCTGTGTAATTTAGTTCAGAGGAGGCTTTGAGTATTGGTTAAAATGCAGATAAGACATCGTGGAGACTCTGACCTTTCAGGAAGTAAGCCTCAGTTCAGGCTTTGCAGTAAATGTCCTACAATAGGTTTGTTCTTCTTGGGGTATGTATCCTTCCTTTCTTAGAGGTGCTTTCAGAAAGAGCCTGAATTTGAGCTTCATAACACAAAGTAGTTACAGTAAACAGCAAATCCTTTTGAACTCCTAAAATACTGATAGTAATTGCAGAAAGCTAAGCTACAGCTTTAAAACATTTCTATAACTAAATCATAGGTAATTTAGAGGGCGTTTACATGATTATATATATATGTATACATATATGTGGCAGATGGAATATTTTATAGGAAAAGGGACTCCTTTGAAAATAAATGAAGCTGTAGTGTGAGCAGTGTTGAGCTCTCCTGTAGTCACTGAGTATCTCTGAAGTAAAGATCCTTTTCTAAATGTCTTGTTTCAGAGTTCAGATGTTTTACAGTCTTGAATTCTTTTTTTACCCTATTAGCTTGGGTTTGGAAGATGGCCCATTGTTTAGCCTTGTATGTGTTTCCATCACAGTGATTTTATTTATGTCTGTGTATATATAAAGAAAGTCAATAATTTATTTTTCTTAACTGAAAAATATACAAAGTAGGATATTTATTAAAAACAATGAAAAAGCACAGAAAGACATTTTAAAATATGTTAAGAGAAAAAGCATTGGCCAGACCTTCTAAATTTCTGCTGGCAGAGCTTTCATTTTGAGGAGAGAATGTTAGTCTTCTATTTTTTGGAAGTTTTTGCTGAGGGTCTTGTTATTTGGGAGTTCTGAGCATGTTATTAATGGGCACTTAGCAACCTAAACATCAGCTCTGCTTTACCATTTACCAACCATTACTTTAAGTAATAGTTATGGTATTTATTTGTATAAGTATTATCACAATTTGTGTTTAGTTGGGGGAATAATACATACAGGTTGGTAAAAAAAAATAAGTTGACATTTGTACAGCTGACATCAGAGGTAAAAATTTACATTTTTTTATACATGGCATATCTTTTATCAGATTTTGAAACAGTGTTTCTCCCTTAATGATGTACAGCAGGTGTTTCAATATATAAAACATAGTTGAATGAGCAAAATAGTTCCATGCTGTTGCTCTCAAAATCTGAATACTAGACCTTTATTGGCAGTGGTGGTGTTCTGTTTTGTTTTTAAACAGTTTTCTTAACAGTATGTTCTCAACAGCCTCTCTTTAACACAAATAAAGGAAGTTATTCTACATCAGTTAGACAGTTTAATTTCCAGAAGAAATGCTGTGTGTGTCCCTTGAGGATAATAGACAATCTCTTGTTTTCTACAAAATTGTAGGGGCTTTTTATCTCTTATGTAGGAAGGAAAAATCTAAGTGCAGCATTAAATTGTAGAAATTGATATAGAATCACAGACATTTTGCTTAACATATACATAGGTTCTGCAACTTACGTATACAGCTCCACTATATATTCAGTCACAATGGTGTAACTGAAGAAGAATATATATATTGAAAATTATTCAGATTTACCACAACATCAGGAAGTAGCCTACTGGTTATGCACTACCATTGAAAAGACTTCATTTTATGCACAAGATTTTGTTTTATAGACTTGGGAAGATATTTATAAACTCTTCCTTAAAAAGAAGTGTGGGACTTATTAATTAGTAACAGATCAATTGAATGTGATATATACATTGAGATGTACAGTAATTTCCTAATGATGGTCATCAGCACCATGGTTATGAAGTTGTGTCTAAGATTCCTTTTGCAGTTGTCCTGTCTTGTTAGAAATGAAATAGTAGAATTTGAAGTGTCAAAAAGCAGTAGCTGAAAAAAGCCTTCCATTTGTAACAAGGGATATAGTGGGCCATGAAATATGAAGCATCTCTGTTGCTAATAGGGAACAACATAATCCTATATAAACGGCATCTGTAACTGAAGTGAAACAGTTTTTCATGCGAATCTTATTTACATTGTGCAGTAGTTTGAGCCCCAAACCTTAATGCTAGACAGCTACAAATAACAAGAATATACAGATTATGAGAATTTTTGTTGAATGGAAAGTACTGAAGGGAATCACAAATTTTATTTTAGACTAAAATAATGGTTAATAGCTGCAATCACTGAGGAAGGAAGGTTATCTGCCTCTGTGGAGTTACCTTTTACTGCAGTTTTCTGCACTGTACCTGGTTCTAGGTATGGCTGCAACAGAGTACTAAATTGGATAGATCCTAGATGAGTCCAACAGCAGCACTGTCTTTATGGCTATGTCTTTTCCATGAAATCACTTTAATATTTAATAAAGTACATTGCAATATTCTTTTATCTGTTTTATTTAGAAGCTATGCTGCATTATGCTTCATTTCTTCATGACTAATGCTTCATTTTATAACACATTTTGCACTTTTAAGGCCTTTTATTTTGATTTTTCTTTTTTATTGCTCCTTCAATTTCTTCTGGAATTACTCGTTGACTTCAGAAATAAATCTGCTAGCTCTGAGAAAGGGCCATCCATATTTTGTCCTAGAAGTAAAGCTGAATGTTACTGACATTGTTCTAAATTACTCTTAAGGAACAGCAACCTGGTAGCTATAGAACACCAGTAATTGAGTATCCCTTTTAAAGGTTTCTATTAATTTCATTTCCATCAAGTCTTTAAATCTCATCTAATTTATTTTCAGTGTTGGGTATATCATGAAGTCAATCTTTGATTTCTAATAAGCTGGTAAGACCTCTGTGGTATTTATCTTCCTGAACTTTAAAATACTGTCTCCAAGTAAGTTTGATTCGGGATCCCTGATGACTGTGGAAAATACCATCTCTCAATGACTGGTATTGTTTCAACGGTGTCTTTTCATCATGTACACAGCTTCAGTAGGCAGATGAGGAAAGAAAATCTATCTAGCAAAACAGGGGAAATAGAGTGGTGTTGATAGTTATGAAATTGAATGAGCTTTTTTTGCATGTGATACAAGGACCTGGAGCAACGTGTTCACCAGCATACAGGCACAGTGTATATAGGCTGAGCTGTGTGTCCTTAAGATAGGTTGTACGACCATACAACAAATAAATATGTGATCAGTCTTGTTATCTGACCTAAAAATGTGGTTTTTATTCCTGATATTATGTTTTTGGTGGTGCTTTGCATCAGCTTTTAATGAGCAGTATTGCATGGTACTTGCACTGTATATTTTTGTTGTTAAATATGTACATAATGGGAAACAAATGTGAAGCACATTAGTATAATTAAGGAAAGGATTGATCCTTATTTGAAACTGATGACAAATTTAGCTTTACATTATTCCTGCTTTGCTTCAGATGATCAGATAGAAACAGAAGTCAGTTCAAAGATGTTCCTTCCCCTATGTTTTTGGGTTTTGCATTTCTGAAGAACATAGGTTTTTCAGAACCTATATATGTTGTTATATTGGGTGAATATAATAACATTTTTGTTATTATATTCACTGACAGGAAGAAATCATGGAGAGGAGTATAGAAGCAATGAAAGAGGAGGGAGACATGCTATGCATTCCTTAGAATCTGAAAGTACAGTGTTAAAACCACATTCATTCTTATTTGCTCTTAGGTTTTCAGAAAAAGCGACAGTCGAGTGGTTGCAACTCTTTGAAGGGAGTGGGGTTCCATATGGCCCAATCAACAACATGCAGCAAGTGTTCTCAGATCCTCAGGTTGGTCCTCACCAAGTCTCTTCTGTATGTTATTACATGTGTCTTGCAAATACTGAGTCATGATCATTCCTCCTGACACTCAGACCTGATTTTGGCTGCTTCAAAATGGGGTTTGAGAGGTTTATGATGGATTTAGTTTCATCCAATAGTATGTCATATTAAGAAATAAATACAGAATCTTTAAATGAATTATATGCTTGGGAACTCAGATTTTGTCACAACAAATTAAACCATAGGTATTCCACGTCTCACATAGAGAGTCTGTATTTCAAAACTGGCTGGTAAAACAGAGAAAGAAACAATAATATAGTGCGTAATTGGATTTTATTGCATAAATATGCAGAAAAGCACCTCTTTTTGGGCCCTGAAAGAACTAATTTTTCGTATAGAGTATGGATAACCAAAACCTATTCTGTTTGAAAAAAATGGGCAATGTTTTGACTAAAAAAGAAACATGAAGCAGAAAATCCATATAAAGAAAGAATCCATACCTTTTCTTGGCCTGGTGGTTTCAGTAGCTAAAACCAGTTCCTCTCAGTATCTGTTTTAAATATTGCACTGGATTACACCTATGCTTAATTATTAACAATATTTTTATATTTTAGTACCTGGAGAGTTATATTATTTTCATATTCCCTGATGCCTTCCCTGCTTTTTGACTCTCTGTCTTAGGAAGGGTTAAAGGGCCCAAGATAAACTGAATTATACTGTCTTGAGTACTGCAACTGAATATTTTATGGCTTTTCTAATGTGTGATGTGTCTTCTCTAAGATGACTTTTACTAAAGAGAGTCGCAAGAAAAAATGATTGATCAATGACTATTTTGGTATTTTCTTTTGATTTTGTACATGCCCATGTCTGTTGTCAGAAGTGTTTGTTGCAACTGTGATTGTAGTGTTGGGAAAATAAGAGCAGGCAAAGCAATCCCTGTCATAAAAAAATGTTTATAATAAATGTTTGTTATAAATATTATTATATTTAAAAGGCATAAAATAATATTTGTTAGGTGACTGCAGGGAAAGAATATTTTTTAATTAAATAAATACGCTCTTTCTCCGTAAAATGATGTAGTATCATGCCGTAAAATATCCATGGGCCAAATTTTTCACTTCATAACTTTCACAGGGATTAAGATTGGGCTTTGAAGAACATACAGCAAGAGTATTTTACTCAGACTTGGCTCTACTTGGGACAACATTGGAAAAATATTCTGTGCTTTTTTTGATGCTGTGAACTTTAAGAAGTAGAGTCTACTCTGAAAGAGACTGTTTTTAAAACATTATATGTCATGGGCTATTACCTCCCAAATTGGAAAGAGGTTATCTTGGCTACCTTGCTCTTGTTAGAATTCACCTAAATAACATTTTCATGTACATATTATTATAATTATATGTGTTATTTATATCTATGTGTCAGGTTATTACTTGACATAGTTAGCCTATCAATAAAAGGTATCATGCTTTGCAGTTAGATATGGCATGTTTTTTAAAATATTTTTCTGTAAGGGGCATGCTAATCTCTTCCTTATAAAACTGCTTTAAAGCCTTCTTTTCTACACCTTTTTCTGAAATATGTGGCACCTGGACATTGCTACTGGAAATTTAATGTCAATATTTGTGCATACCTGCATGTTATACCTTTATTTCATTTCTGGAAGAAGTGTTTTCTCACAGGTAGTTTCAGTTCAAAGGAAGCAGGGGAAAAAGACTGAGACTGTCTGACTGGGGAAGAAATGTACCACCTGAGAGATTGTAATCTAGGTATCCTTGCACTATGAAATCCCAGGTATCATAGGAGAAAACCAGCACCCACCAACAAGAACATACTCTAATCACTGCAAGATTTTTTATAGAATAATAAAATACTATGAGTTGGAAAGGACCTTTGTGAAGTTATCTCAATGCAGTCTGCAGGGGTGTCTTCAACAAGATCAGATAGCTCAGAAGCCCCATCCACCCTTGATCTGGAATATTTTCAGGGATGGGGCATTTACCATCTATCTAGGCATCCTGTTCCAGTGTTTTCCAGCCATTATTGTAAAAAACTTTATTATAGCAAACCTAAATTAACCGTTTTTTCAGTTTAGAGTCATTAACCCTTGTCCTATCATAACAGGTCCTGCTAAAAATTCTTATAGTCCCCTTTTAAGTACTTAAAGGCCACAACAGGGAATCCCCAGAACCTTCTCTTTTCCAGGATGAACATTCCTAGTTCTCTCAGCCTTTCCTCATTGCTGAGGTGCTCCGTCCAACCCTCTGATCATCTCCACTGCACTCCTCTGGACTCCTCCAATTTGCTCCTTCCTATACTGTGGACCCCAGAGCTAGACACAATACTCCAGGTGGGATCTTACAAAAGCAGAGTATAAGGGGAGGACTCTCTCTTGATGGCTGGTCGCACTTCCTTCGATGCAACCTGGGACATGTTTCACTTTCTGGAATGCAAGCAAACATTTCTGGCTCATGTCCAACCTCTCATCCACCATGTCCCTGTATTTGTTCCCAGCAGGGCTGCTCTCAATCTTCTCATACCCCCGCCCATACTGGTCCTGAGGGTTGCCTTGACCCTGGTGTAGAACTTTGAGCTTGGCTTTGTTGAACTTTGTGATGTTCCCATGGGCCCACTTCTCAAGCATATGAGATGCTTGAGATTGATGCTTGATGGCATCCCATCCTTCAGGTGTGTCAACTGAACCACTCAGCTTGGTGTCATCTGCAAACTTGCTGAGGGTGCACTTGATCCCTTTGTCTGTCATTGATGAAGATGTTAAATAGCACTGGTCCCAGTAAGTGCCCCTGAGGGACACTGCTTGTCACCAATATCATGTCTCACTGAGACAGTGACCCATACCCTCTGGATGTGACTATCCAACCAATTCTCTATCCACCTATTCATCAATCCACCCATTTTCTTATGTGTAAACCTGAACCCAGATTTTCATCAAGAATGAAAATTTTGTAATAATTATTCGCAGTGCTCACATTATAATGTGATTTTCTGAGACTCAGTTTAGATCAGAAAATACAGTTCTAAGAAAGATGTAACTCAACTGGCATATGAGAGCCATGCATGCTGATACTAATACTGATACTGATGTTAAACTCTTTAATTTCACGTAACACTGTTTGATCATAGCACAGTTATCTGCTTCTCATCACCATTTGCTCTCAACCATTGCAAAGAGTTCAGAAAAACATTAAACCTACTGATAGTTGAATTTCATCCAACTCTTCTCTAAGTCTAATAGATAATGCACAGGCTTCACTAACATCTTCCTTTTTGTGTGTTACCATCAAGATTGGATCTAAACATTTTATTTATTACCATTATTTTCCTCATTCATATTTGGATTCCTATATCCATAATACAAACACCTTGCATGGTAAGTGTAGTCTTGCACTGTTAGTGACCAAGATGCACTTCATGGATGTCAGCTCAGCTGTCAGCAATGCCGTAAATGGTTCTCTAGGCGTGAACCAGATGAAGATGGAAATCTGAGGAGGGGGCTGGGATGGCTAGAACCACGTGTGAGGAGGCAAGACAACTACAGGAGATGATTGAAATGGTCTAATGGGACTCAATTGGCTACAGGCTGGTTGTGCTTTCAAATTTTATTTTAACTAAAAGGATCACAGAGCTCTGAAGGCTGGGAGTGGCTTATATATCTCCTTCTATAAACTGAGATAAAACAACATATTTTTTGATCCCAGGGCATTTTGCTAATATCATTAACAGCTTCAGTTGTACTCCAAGTGAGCTGCCAAAACCCAGGAAATTTCTTACTAAGTTGGAGTGCCAGGTGATACTGTTTTTCCATGAATGGAGTTAAATGTCTACTTTTCCCACTGATTATAATCTTTTATTCATTTGTGAAGTTAAAATGATTACCACAGGCATTTGTACTGGTAAGTCAATCAGTCTGTGGAGAGATGTACGCGTGTGTTTGTGTATATTTGGATAAAACGGCTGAGAGAAAAAGGAGATTGACTAGTTAAGGGAACAAGTTTCTTAAAAATGTGAGGGAGAAAGCAATGATTGTGAAAATTCTTACAAATGCTTAATAGAACAGTACAGAATATGAACATTTATATAGTGAAACTTTTAAAAACTATTTTTAAAAATGTGCTCTTTTAACCGGGCCAAGATACTACAAACATTAAAAGAATTCTTAAAACCTTTAAAAATCTTATGAGTGACCTCAGTATGGTCCCATTCTACATACCCTGGGGAATATGTGTATGAAATACAATGTGGTTTGAAGCTTTCCAAACAAAACAAACTTAAAAGAGAATACCATTTTTAATAGAAACGATTCAAATTCTCCCAAAAGATAAAACAAAACAAAAACAGGTACGCACCGTACTGCAGCTAAGTACGCAAGAACAAAAATCTTTGCTGGTTAAGTGAGGTGAGTGAAGGGTTTTTTTCCTTCTTTTGAACATTGCCTTTGCCTTGTTTGCACTGTAATTTCTTTCAATCTTCTTTTATAGATTGTTCTTACTTTAATTAAATAGCTGGCATAATACAGGAAACACCAAAACAACCCAGAAAAAATGGGAAGTTTAATAAATGGTAATCTGGTGTTTTAATATATTATATCCATTAATGTTGATGAGTTTTACTATATTAATGTTGTCAGCTGAAAATAAAATGAAAACCATGCAGTGGCATTTCCCCTGTGCCCTTCCCCCCCCCCCCCCCCAACAGTTCCAGTCATACCACACAAGTTGAGTACATCAGGTGTAAGACATCATCCTGATGCATCACTTCTGAGAAATATGGGGAGGGAAATATCAGAGCTGAAATATCACAGCTGGCCCTGATTTCAGCTCCTGCCAAACACCTGCAGACTCTAAAAGGATACCATAACAAAACTCCACCCTGTGGCAAGAGGCCATCCCTTAACAACCCTTCCCTGACTTTGCATCACTATAAAAATTAATTTAACATTTTTTACTGAAACCTTAGTCTTCCTGTCCCAGAAGGCCATTACAGTTCCTTTAGCCATTTCTCTGAATATGCCTCTGAAAAGAAAGTCACAGTAAACTGAGTATTGAAATATCTGATAGCTGGCAATTATTTGATGTTTTAAGTTTATTATTTGTGAAAACTTATGAAGGTGGTATATTTTTTTTTCATTACCCTTCAGATTGCCTCTTATTTTGGAAGTCATTTTGTATGCATCCTGGCAAAAAAAAATTGCTAGCATCTGGTAAAAACTTCTACACTCAGTATTGTGAATATATAGAAGAGCAAAAGTTATAAAATGTGTAGTGTGTTTTTCCTTTAGTGGTGATTTTTTGTTGCATTTTTTTTTTTAATTGTGTGGGTTTTGGTGCTGGTTTGGGTTTGATTTTGGCTGGGGATTGTATTGTTTGCCTTTTTTTTTTTTTTAATATGACCATTTCAACCATTCTTTGTTGAAATACACTTTTGTGGCATATTGAGGGTTCTCCCAAGACGAATGAAATTATATTCATGTTCATAATACTATAGGGAAGTATTTTACATGTAGAGGTTTCTGCAACTGAAAAGCAACTGATTGAAGGCCTAAGGCAATATGATATTTCTGGAAATAATTCCTAACAGACAAGAGAGGAATTAAATTTTGCATGTGTCTATTAAATAAGTACTAAAATGGGTTGGAAATCTTACGATGAAATGTTTTTACATTTAAAGACGCCAATTCATTGAAAATGAAACAACCCCATGAACACATCTAAGATTAAACTCTACTTTGAATCAGAAATTCAGCTGTACTCATGCCTCTCTTGCTAAGCTGAAAATGTGCACTGCCTGGCTTTGGTGTTTCAAGACAAATTTTTACTTCAATTTTTAAATTCCGTGCAATGAAAAAACACCACACCACCAGCCATACCCAGGCCTGTAATTTTGTCAAGAGTAGCTCTCTCATACTGAATTACAAATGTTTTCAAGATTTTGGCCTGTGGGAATTTAATAAAAGCAGATTCTGTTCTAAAGGGGAATGGATTAAGAAATGGAACATATTTTGAAGAAGTAAAATGGAAAATCCAATTCCAGTACAGTTTGTAGTATGTGATTTTCACATATACACAATTATGCAGTATATATGTAGTATGAGAGGATTCTATATCCAGATGTTGTAGGAAAGTCTCAAAATGAAACAGTACTTGTATTTTTGTATGAGGAATATTGTAATAGGACGTGTGTTTTAAATTTTGGCTGTAGTGAAATCTGGTCCATGACTGTGCCATGTTTGTGCATGGCCTGTCTCTGTTACAATGACTTGTGGAGAGCTTCTGGTGGAGGAGTCTTGAAAAAACTTGTATGTTTATGTTAATGACAGGATTTTGTCTGTACACACATTTAATATACAACTACTGTCTAGACAGTACTTAGTACTTATAGATTGTCCTATAAGAAAAATAATAGTAAAGAAGTAGCTCAACAATTTCTATTATGAGGTTTTGTTTTTGTTTGCCTTTAGC